CTGTCAGGCAGAATTTGAGGACTGTCCTGTGGGCAGGGGCAAAGAGAGAGCTGGGGTGTGTGAGCAATGGCTGCCTTTATGGAAACTGCCAGTGCCAAAATGGAATGCAAGTCCCCAGAAGAATCTTTTCTAGAGAAACCTACATCTTCACCCCACAACAGCAACAGCTCTGCTGAGACATGTTCACTTAGGCATATTAAAAGGGGGAGAATATATCCGCTCTCTGAACAGGATCCCAAACAGGAAGAGACTAATTTCTCACTGATGACAGGAATATTGCAGGGGTGGAACCTAGTCAGAGGGTCAAAAATACTGATTTTACTGATCAAAGTTCCAAAAAACTAACCAAATACTGACAAAAAACTGACAAATTACTGAACAATTTAATGTCAGCCTACTGATAAGCTAGCATTTTAAATGTAAAACTAGGGCATCATTAAAAATGATTATTTGGCCTCCACCATCCCCATAGCCAGCCCCATAGTTAGATGTGGCCCAGATAAAAGGACTGCACACCTTTTTATTGATTTTTTTATGAATAGAGGACAATGTTTTCATCATTGTACAAAATTTAAGGCAAAGAAAGATACCCTTTTAAAAATAATCACATACTGCAGACGATAAAATGGCAAAACCGCAAAAACATATTAAAAACCAAACATAAAGTAATAATTATGACAACAAAACATAATTACTGTAAGGGAAGACTTGTCTTTGCTTTTACATTATCTTTGGGGGTTTTGATGAAAAAAGAACCGGCCAGCAGCCTGCCATCCCTGGTGGAGGCCGTGTTGGGCTGGGCATTGGAACACCCTAGAGTGATTGTCCTGTGTGATTTCAATGTCCATGCGGACGATGTGGCCTCCACTCAGGTGATGGACCTAGTGTCATCTGTGGTGATGTTGGAACTCTCCCAATATGTAATGACTCCCACTCACCAGGCCGGACACATGCTCGATCTGATCTTTGTAGCAGAGGTCACAGTGGACCTGGTCACTGCCTTAGCAGTGCCGTGGTCAGACCATCATGCCCTGAAGGCCCATCTGAATGTGTCACCCCGTCCCTGTTTGAGTGGTAAGCAGATTTAAGCTCGCCCGCAGAGCCAAATGGACTCTATGTGGCTTCAAATGGCCCTGCGGGATCTGATGCCCCCTGGCGCCTCGTTAGATGAGCTTGTGGAGGATTGGCACAGCTGACTCTTGGCAGCCGTTGATGAGATTGCTCCCTGACGCCCTCTACGCCCTCACTCCAGGCTGGCTCCTTGGTTTACTCAGGAGTTGCAGCTGATGAAGCGAAGGCTAAGATGGCTAGAGAGACAGTAGTGGTGCGCCTGCGACGAAGCCACAAGAACATCTTATAGGACGTTTATGAGACCCTATGAGATGGCAGTCAAAGCTGCTGAGAGTATTATGCGGCTACGATTGCATCTGTGAACTCATGCCCAGCCCAATTATTTAGAATAATTCAGTCTATGACTGTTCTGCCACAAGGCTAGCTATTATCTCCTTTACGGTTTTAAGGTAAAGGCTGTATAATCAAGTTCAAGTGTGGGGTGACAACTTCTTTGTGATGACCAGTAATGTCCCATTTTGCCTACAGGATCTAAGCAGAAAGGGTTATGTAATAATAATGGCCAATAGATCTGTCATCTGCTTCTTCCCCCCCCCCCCCTTGCCCTCACCTGTGCTGGTTCCCATAATTTTTGTTTCTTCTTGACAAATTGGCACACGCAAGGCTTCCGGTTCCAGCTGGGCAATATCTTCAGACTCTGGGACATAATATCCTTCTTGAAAAAGAAGAGAACGTTATGAAAAGGCTGGATTTCTAGACATTTTACATTTACATCCTTCATTAAATGCCGACTTTCCCCCCAAAGTGACTTTATATAGTTCCTGCCGCCCGAAAGACTTGGGTCAGGTAACAAAAAGCTGGAATACATACGCGTGCAGCAAAAATAAGGTTAACCCAAGTTCCTCACATGCAGATTTAAAACTTCAGGCTAGCAAAACATCAACACCCAGAAGATTAAAGACACTTGCGCCTCTCTGACTGGTACATAAGAGGATCAAAATTATTACTCTGGATTAGTTCTGTTTTCAAAATAAAGGAACCTTACAGAGATGGCACTTGGAATTCCAACTGATTAATTAATACATAGCATACACAGTGCTAAATACCTAAAGGGTGGTGGTAACATCAAGAGAATATAGAAGAAGAAGAGATTGGATTTATACCCTGCCCTTCACTACCCAAGGGAGTCTCAGAGCGGCTTACAAACTCTTTTCCCTTCCCCTCCCCACAACAGACACCCTGTGAGGTAGGTGGGGCTGAGAGAGCTCTTGACAGAAATTGCTCTTTTTCAAGAACATCTCTTATCAGAACTATGGCTTGCCCAAGGTCATCCAGCCAGGTGCAAGTGGAGGAGTGGGGAATCACACCCGGTTCTCCCAGATTAGAGTCCGCGCACTAAACCACTACACCAAACTAGTTAATCGAATACATTTGTATTCTGTTTTTTTCTTTCATGGAACTCAAGGGGCCCATCCAGGAGGTAGCCAGGAGGTCTCCCTTCCAGGCACTGTCCACATCCAGGCCTCCTTAACCAGAGCAGGTATCGTGCCAGGTTTCTTTGGATCATCACCTGGTCCCATTTAAACAGTTTCACCTGTGTTCATTTATCTGATCTATATACCCCCCTCCCTCCAAATGAATAAGAACATAAGAGAAGCCAATGTTGGATCAGTGCCCATCCAGTCCAACACTCCGTCACACAGTGGCCAAAACTACCAGGGGCAGGAGGTCCATCGGTGGGGCCAGGACACTAGGAGCCCTCCCACTGTTGCCCACCCCCCCAAGCACCAAGAAGACAGAGCATCCCTTGCCCCAGCCTGAGAGTTCTATACCTTGTGGCTAGTAGCCACTGATGGATTTCTGCTCCAATGGGGCTCAGGGCGGTTGACAACAATTCATAAATACAATTCTAATAAATACATTCAATATGCAGATCTAAATGTAAAACAATATACCAACTGTAATCAAAACGAATCAGATGGCATCATACTTGTATATCCTGCCTTAGGGGAGGAGACGAGGAGCAGGCCAGGCTCGATGGTAAAACTGTTGCTGCCTTTCTGTCCTCAACCACAGGCCTGGTGGAACATCTCTGTCTTACAGGCCCAGCGGAACTGTTTCAGGTCCCACAGGGCACGGATGTCATTAGGCACAGCCTTCCACCGGGACAGCGCCAGGGCCAAAGAACCCCTGGCTCTGGTTGTGGACAACTGAATATCCTTCGGGCCAGGGAACCACCAGGAGGTTCTTATCTCTAGAGTGTAATGCTCTTCAGGGAGTATACTGGGAGAAGTGGTCCCTTAGATACGCTGGTCCCAGACTGTTTAGGGCCCTGAGAGTCAGTACCAAAACCTTGAACCGGATCTAGCACTCAACTTGGAGCCAGCGCAGGTGGTGAAGCACAGGTCAAATACGTGCTGTCGTAGGGGTCCCCGTAAGGACCCGTGCTGCTGTATTCTGAATTAAATGTCTCGCTTCATCCTCCTAGATCCTGACATTATTCCAAGTTAGCTGTATGACCTGCAAGAGCATTAAGAACTTAGATGGGTCCGCCCCCAAACACCTTTACCGTAGCTGGTGTGAGCAGCTTTAGCTTCTCCCAAGCCTTCCGAATCTGGCACCCACGGCTCGTCTCCATTTTCCAGCTGAGCAATGAGCTCCGGCTTTGGAGCCAGAAATCCCGCTTGGAAAAGAAATGAACAAGAGGCATCAGCAGGATTTAGCATGATCTGCATTGTTTATTCTTTCTTCTGTAGTTTAATTTATTCTTGTAGACCGTGCCTTTGTCTCCCTACGATTGGGTTACAGAAGAGAAAAAGCAACACACAAATTTGTAACTTGTTGTATCTGAAGAAGAAGAAGAAGAGATTGGATTTATACCCCGCCCTTCACTACCCAAAGGTGTCTCAGAGCGGCTTACAAACTCCTTTCCCCTCCCCTCCCCACAACAGACACCCTGTGAGGTAGGTGGGGCTGAGAGAGCTCTTGACAGAAACTGCTCTTTTTCAAGAACAGCTCTTATCAGAACTACGGCTTGCCCAAGGTCATCCAGCCAGTAGCAAGTGGAGGAGTGGGGAATCAAACCCGATTCTCCCAGATTAGAGTCTGTGCACTTAACCACTACACCAAACTGGCATGCATACACACAAAAGCTTATACCCAGAATTAAACTAGTTGGTCTTAAAGGTGCCACTGGACCACAAATGGAACGGTCACTCAGGAACAACAGTGTATGTCTACCACTGGCATGACCAAGCAGGCACACAAAGAGATATTCTTGGTTGTTACCCCTCACCTATAGAATACACTTTGATGGAGGCTTGTCAAAAACCTGAGACTCTTCTGGAATCAACATAAAATGTTCTCACTCACTGCGGATTTTGATGGTCAGGCCCAGGGAAGCAGAAGGTGATTTAAATCAGTGGGGTTTTTTCAATGATTTAACTTCTACTAGCTGTCTTGACTGCTTGGGATGGAGTGGGTTACAAAAACTAAACTAAATCAATGCATCTCTTCTCTCCTTATTATAAAAGAGTTTTGGTGTCCCTCTTGCACACGCTCCCGCAGCCTTTCGCTGTTGCACCTGCCAGTCTGAAGGATCCCCTGGCTGCATTGGCTAGCTCCCTTGCCTCCATCCTGCCCACAGAGACGCCGAGCCAGCTGGCGGTGTCTGACTCACTGTGCTCTGAGCCAGCTCAGGGGACGGCCACTCCGGCAGATGAACAGGCCCACTGGGAGAGGTGGAGAAGAGGCGCAAGAGCCCACACACGATCCGAAATGCCACAGTCAGTCGAGGCGGGGGCAGGGCGCGACTGCTGCTTGCGCCAAGAGGCTGCCCCTCCGCCGGCAGCCCTGTTGTCATCGTCTGGCCCAGCTGAGGCAGCTCTCACGCCACTCCGTACCACGCCCCACTGCCACCACACTGAGAGGCTCCCTGATGCGTGCCCGCTGCTACGCCAAGACCCTCCTCCTCTCCGACCCCGGCGACGGAAGCTGGGACACAGGTGCCAGCAAAGCAGCTGTGTTCTACCCGCCGCTGCGCCCTGCAGATAAGCCCGCCGCCACCCCTTCTTCTCCTGAGGGATGGGCTGGCCAGCGGTGGCCCAGCTAGAGCTCGTTGCATTTGTCTCCGCGATGGGCCTTCTTCCTAGTCACAAATAAGCACTAGAAAAGTGACGTTCTGTGGCAGAAGACAGCTTGGAGACCCTTTTTAGAACTGTACTATGCTATGACACAGGTAAAGAAAATTCTCTTCTCAGAGACTCATTCAGACATGCTGTTCCAAGTGGAGAAAGGTTTTCAAGATAGGCATTACCGGGGTGTGTGTGTGTGTTTCCCGTGAAAATAAAATGATATCAGAATATAAGGTACCTATTTCAGATACTCAGTGGCAGAGCACACAGAAAGTCCCAGGTTCAATCCCAGGCACCTTCAGTTAAAGGATCTCTGCAGGATTTGGGAAAGACTTTCCTTAGCTTCAGACTCTGGACAGCTGCTGCCAGTCAGAGTGGACAATACCGAGCAAGATGGACCAACAGCCTGACTCAGTACAGGGCAGCTTCCTATGGTTGTATCTGCAGACCTCTGGATAAAGCAAGCAAGGAATCTAAGTAAACAGAGGAGACAATCCTAACTGGAATATGTGAAGGACAGAGAGAGACAGTGGCAAAATTTTCCATCGACTATCCAAATGAAGAAGCAAACTCCTTACCCAAAGAAACCACGTTCTCATAATTTTCCACCATAACATCCCTATACAAGGCTCTTTGGCTCGGATCCAGCAGAGCTGCTTGCCCGGCTGTGAAATGCACAGCCACATCTTCAAAGGTCACCGAGCTCTGCAAAGATAAAGAGTGCTCACTCAATGCCTGTCATCCCCCAAAGCTCACTCAATGGCTCAGAGCTGATCTAGACATTACAAAGAATGAAGCTATCAGAGTTCTGGGCCTGGCCTGTATTACCTGACCTGGGGGTGCTTGATCGCTATGTATTGTTAGAAAAGTTTATGTCTTGGAAGTTGCACAATTTTTTCATTTTAAAATATATGCACTGAAAGAACCAGATATATTTCATGTTACTTGAAATGTGTCATGGTACCTTTCAGAACAAAGTAACAGAAGCACACATTTAACTGCAAGGACTACCAGAAATGCTGATCTTAGAGATCCAAGTGTAAGAGGCAACAGAGATCGAAACAAGGGGCCCAGATACATAAAAACTGTCTTTGAGTTTTACAAATTGATATCTGCTGGAGGAAGTCTAGCACTTTGTCAAGTCAGACTGCAGATGCTGGGGGTCATTAAATGCTCCCCACATAAAACACTTCCTGCATGCAGTTAACTAGCATATCAAGACAAGAAAGTTTCTGTTTCGTCCTTTCCCTGATGTGCTAATTTACAATCTGCAGGGAACGCTCAAAAATACGATTCTCCTGCCGCACTCTGAAATAGTACAGTCTTAGAATGCTGCTACTTGAGTCTACCTGACCATATGGTCTGGCCCTTCAAAAGATAATTTTAAAAGGGTCCAGAAGAGAGAACCAGATGCAGTATCTTTGTGTTTTTTCTTCTTCGTTGCCTTTTGGTCCTACCCCTCCCATCCCTGCCTGAACACACCAGCTGCCATCTCCTACCTGCATAGCCTCTGATGTAATCGTTTCACTTCCCATGAGAAGAGGGGGCGATCCAGATTGACAGACAGACATCATTCTGCACTCTGTGAAGGCAAGAAAGACAAAACAGTAAAACAGTGTGTGTGTGTGGACAGCGACACACATTTATCCAATATCCCTTTATGTCTCAAGGCCCAGTCTTTGTGGAATGGAAGGAAGGCAGTGTAGCCAGAGTATCAAGCCTCCATCAAATTCTCTGTCCCTGAAAATGTTATGTGACAGGTCTTGGGAAGCACAGCCAGGCCCATTAAGCCACAGACTGCGCACAGGAATGCATCTGGCAAGGTGGGCTCCACGCCACAAAAAGCTTATGCTAATGCCTTGAAGCACCTTGTTTATCAGGTGCCACAAGATGCCTGTTTATTGGTGCATATGAATGGTAAGGCCACATGTGCAAGCCCACACCTTTTGAGTCCTTGCTCTGGTCCATACAACACATCCTGCACACAATGTAAAGTGTGGGCATACAAGCCCAAGGTGGTCTATTGGAGGTCAGACTGACTGAACAAGGTGTTTTTCTAGTTTGGCCACTTCCAAGATCTCTGGGAGACCTGAACTTTGAGGGGATTCCCAAAGGAATTTCCTCAGAGTTCAAGTCTGCCAGAGACCTTTGGAAGCGCCTTTCCTTTCCCTGCAGCTCAGCCACTTGTTCTGCAGGCCATTTCCCGCTCTCTGCAGTGTATTGTGATCTGAATTCCCTGAGAGGAAAGCAGTAGGGGGTTGGACTGGATTGTTTTGGCATGCATTTCCATGACACACACATTTCACACTGTTCTGAAGTCTACCAAATGACACACGATGGGAATCCAATGCAGAGTTATTTTAAACTAAGCCCATCACAATCAATATGTTTAGACTGGAGCAGGTCCGTAGCTACAGTGAGGCTTTTGGGGCCTCCACCCCCTTTCTTAAAGGCACAGCCCCACAAGAATTTCTCCTGTAAATGCTTTTTTTCAATCTTTTAAAAACATTTTTAAGGCGTATGCTCCTTCAAGCAGAGTTGGGTGCTGTAATTTACTAATTCCTTCACTGAGCAAAGGGGTTGGAGTGGGTGACCTCTAGAATCCCTTCTAACTCTGTATCATGAAACTGGTCTCCTTTATGAGAGTTTTTCTGCCTAAGTGTTCGCTTTCTTGACCACAGAAGTCATCGCCCCCACCTGCTGGCTTGTTATCAGAACTGTTGCTGAGGCTGGCAGAAGTGATTAGCTTGCAGCAGCTGAGAACTATCCATCTAAAGTGGTTGACAGCTTGAAGTGTAGAGTTCTATCCTGGTAACCGCTTTCTATTGGCTAAATGGTTAAGAACACCTATATAGAATAGACAGCTTGAGAAGACTGAAAGGGAGGAAGGGGAAAAAACCTGCCTCAAAGCTCTCTTCAGCTTCTACACTGCTGCTATACACTGCAAATTAAAGTGACTTAACTGGCAAAACGCAGATAACCCAGTGCCACACCTACCATCTACCAGAAAATTTGTCCCCCACCCATCCTGCAACTATCACACTCTGGGGCTAAGATTTGCAGAAGCCTCTATGCTTTGATTTTAAAAGGCTTGATTCCACAGCAGCGGAGTCATAATCCTCAGAATTCTGGCTTTTCTGAGAACTTCAGCCCCCCCCGCCCTAACCTCCCGCCCCACCAAATTTTTTTTTTTTTCCCCAAAAAGCCACAAAATCTTGGCTACGGGCCTGGATTGGAGCAACTCTATACAGCATGGCATTGACAGCCTCTGGGTCATTTTAGCCTGATCTCCACAAAATCATGAAAAATATGACTCCTACCCCCACCCTTTCTGACTGGGATTCTTTCCCCATGCCCTTTTGCCTCGCTTGTGTTAAAAGGTCTCCTCACTTAGCTGTGCGTTTGCTACTCCCCCCCCATCATCATAAGAACAGAAGCCATGTTGGATCAGGCCAATGGCCCATCCAGTCCAACACTCTGTGTCACACAGTGGTCAAAAAAGCCCAGGTGCCATCAGGAGGTCCACCAGTGGGGCCAGAACTCCAGAAGCCCTCCCACGGTTGCCCCCCAAGCACCCAGAATACAGAGCATCAGTACCCCAGACAGAGTGCTCCCTCTATACCTTGTGGCTAATGGCCACTGATGGACCTCTGCTCCAGATGTTTATCCACTCCCCTCTTAACGCTGTCTGTGCGTGCAGCTGCCACAACTCCTTGCAGCAGTGAATTCCAGAAAGGACAAAGGAAGATCCAAAACGCAGCCTCCGCTGATGCAAACTTGCAAATGGCAAGGTCGAGGGAAAGACACCCCCCAAGGATGCCCCTTCGCCCAGCTTACCAGCATTTGCAAGGGGGGCTTCAGCAGCTTCCCCAACGCAGATGCAATCCTGCCAGCCCCCTCCATTTGGCAAAGAAGCTGTCTTTGTCCCCGGCCAGCTATGGACGCGCTTCACGATACCAAGGGAGCCAATCAGACACCCAGACTCCTATTTCCGTCAATTCACACGGCCTATGGGAGAGGATCTGCGAGCGAGCTGGGAAGAGGCGCTCCTGGGAACTGTAGTGATTTGGAAAACTACGGAGGGTTCTGGGAATCGGTGCATCCCCTTGTCCTCGGAATTGCAACGGGGCATTGTGAAAAACGAGTAAACGCTGCACGGATACGAGGGGCATTTGGGAGTGCCGGACTAGGCAGCACTGCCTTCTCTTCTTCTAATGAGCTGATAGCAGCAAAATAAAACAGGAGCCCAATCGCACGCTGGAGACTTGACACAATTTATCCCGGTGTTCGTTTTCGTGAGTCAGAGCAGCACCCATGAAAATTTACACTGAAATCCATTCTGTTGGTCTCTAAGTACCACTGGACTCCTGTTTTATTTCTCTGTAGTTTTTATCCAGATAATTAATTATTTTTGACAAAATATTTTAATTTTTGGACAATTTTTTCTTCCCACAGGTGAAGTGTAAAAATGTACAAATGCTATGAAAATGGGGAGGGGGGGGAAGGCCAGTTTGGTACAAAAGTAGTACTGCTACTAGGTCTACCTCTCAGTTTTAAATCGGACATTACCTGTTGGTTACTTTTCTGATCCATTAAAAACATTTGCTCATATGTAGGGCTGTTCCCTATTCATTCATTCTTTCTACCACGCAAATCTCCTAGCGCTCTTGCTTGTTTTGCAATATTAGGGGGGGAAAGGAGAAATCCTTATAAATAGACAAACAGCTCCACCTACTGGCCGTGTCTAGCCAGAGCCAGTAAAAAAAAAATTGTGACCACTGAAGAGGGAAGAGATTGGATTTATACCCCAACCTTCTCTACCCGAAGGTGTCTCAGAGCGGTTTACAATCCCCTTTCCCTTCCTCTCCCCACAACAGACAACCTGTGAGGTAGGTGGGACTGAGAGAGCTCTTTCGAGAACTGCCCTTGAGAGAACAGCTCTGAAAGAACTTATGGCCGACCCAAGATCACACCAGCAGCTGCAAGTGGAGGAGTGGGGGATCAAACTCGGTTCTCCCAGAATAGAGTCTGTGCTCCTAACCACTACACCAAACTGGCAAGGTTACTGCCACAGCTGGGGGCTGCCAGGGTGATTGACATGATAAAAACATCCTACAGTCGAGATGCTGGATGAGAAAGAAAGGGGGGGGGTCCTCTATGACCGAGGGCCCTTGATGTTTGCAGGAAAGAAGGACAAGCGTTCTAGGGTTGCCAACCTCCCAGTGGTGGCTGGAGATCTCCCGCTATCACACAACTGGTCTCCAGGTGATGGAGGTCAGTCTCCCTGCAGAAAACAGTGGCCTTGGAAGGTGGACTCTATGGCATTACACCCCATTGGAGTCCCTCCCCTCCCCAAACCCCACCTTCCTCAGGCTCCACCCCAATATCCCCAGGTATTTCCCAACTCACAGCTGGCAACCCTAGGGGGAGGTCTTTCATTTCTGCCTGAAATCCTGACTCTTTTCCTTCGCCATGTGTGCAGACCACTTAAACACCCCCCTCCCAGCTCCTTTAACATCTGGCCTGTTACTTATTTACTTATAGTCTGCCTTCTTACTCAGCCTGAAGGCAGATCACAATCTGGCACCAGTTTTAAGAGAAAGGGTCCTATTTCTCTCCTCAATTACTTCCGAAGCCACAGTGCGACTTCTATTAAGGGAATTCCTCCCGACCAAAGAAGAGATTGGATTTATACCCCACCAATGTTCCCTCTAAGCTGTGGAGTCTTGTGAACAAAAATTCTACTTTGTGAGCTACCGGTATTACAGTTGTGAGCGAGCGATTTGGTTACTGCATAAACTGGAGCCATCCTTCCTGAGCTAACACAAAAAGCTGTGAGCTGGAGGCTAAAAAACTGTGAGCTAGCTCACACTAACTCAGCTTAGAGGGAACACTGTACCCCACCCTTCACTCGGAGTCTCAGGGTGGCTTACAATCTCCTTTCCCTTCCCCTCCCCACAACAGACACCCTGTGAGGTAGGTGGGGCTGAGAGAGCTCTGACAGAAAGTGCTCTTTCAAGAACAGCTCTAACAGAACTATGGCTTGTCCAAGGTCATCCAGCAGCTGCGAGTGGAGGATCAAACCCGGTTCTCTCACATTAGAGTCCGGGCACTTAACTACTATACCAAACACGTGTAGTATCTGAAGAAGTGAGCAGTGACTCAGGAAAGCTCCTACCCCACCGCCACACATTATTTTGGCTTTAAGATGATACTGGGCTCTTGCTCTTTTCTAGGGCTACAGACAGACTAACACGGCTACCCATCTAGATCTACATGTAGGATCGGAAAATTTTATTCTTTCCAGGGTAACATGGACAACTTGGTACGGCCGCTTTGCACCAAAACGAGGAGAGCTACTTCTAAAGGCGCACGTGCGCTCACGAAGTCCCTAGTTTCGATTTGGACTGCTCCACCTTCGTCCGTCATTCATTCACAAATTCAATCATTCATTAGCCTCCCATTGGAATGTTGGGTTTCACCCATCGACTGTTGCAAAAGGCTGGTTTGGCTCCGCCCCCACAGGGACTCATTCACGATCGGGAACGCTCCTCTGGGTTTTTTTTTGCTTCTCCGCACTCGGTGTGGTGTGAGTAGCTGCTGCGGGATAGCAAAGTCTTTTGCACGTGGCTGTTCTCTCCTTTTCCACTCTCCTCGCTCTCCGTTCTGGTCGTCGGAGGCGAACGATCAGCTTTCGTTTTTTTCATTTTGCGGTAGCCACGAGGGGCTTCTTTGGCCGTTCTCCGAAGAGAATTGAGTAAGTAAACCTGCCTTGTTGAAATAGCCAGGTGGGCACTTCCCACTCTTGGCCCGACGACATCGCTGTGGCTTTGCGTGCGTGCTCTTGTGCTTTATTGATCCTGCTTTCTTCCGTTGTGGTTTATACTCCTCTGTAACTATGGCCTTAGGGCTCAAGGTTGAGTTGCAAAAAGCTGTTTCTTTAAAAAGTTATTTTGCCTTCAAATCACAGCTGACCTATGACGACCTTGCAGGGTTTCTAAGGCAAGGGACGCTCAGAGGTCGCCTCACGCCCCCTAGGAGTCGTTGGAGGTCTTCCATTCACAATAGTAGCCAGGGCCGACCGACTGATTAGTTTCCGAGATCTGACGAGATTAGGCTAGTTTGGGCTATTCAGGTGGAGAGCACACTAATGCGTGGGAAACTATGCCTGGGGCTGGGGGAACACTTCCCCTCCCCCCCGACGAACTTAGCATCTCTTCGTCTCATCTCAAATATTGCCCGAAAGTGTGGAGATCTCTGAGATCATCGGGGCATTTTAATTAGAAGGTTAACAAAAAAAAGTTAATCAAAAAGGAGGTTTTCTATTATGCCAAGTCTTGAGGCTTTGAGCAGTTTGAAAACGGAGCAGAGGGAGGCGACACTGGAAAGGACTCCGCAATTCTGGAGTCACCGATCTGGTTCAGTGTGTGTGACCTTCGTCGGTTTTCAGACGAGGGGGGCGTCACCACAAAATGGCCTTCGCGGGAATCACAAAATGTCTGCCGTGGGGGTCAGTCGTAGGAGACCTGAGAGGTTGTGAGAAACCTAGCACCATCCAATGATAGAATGGTTTCTGAAGGGGGCATTCCGACTTGCTTCCCTGTCGATGTAAAGATGGAGGGGGAGGAAAGCTAGGAATGACTACTTAGCTTTTGGGAACACGGGCTTTGTTGAAGAAGCCACTGGGGCTAGAGTGTGCCTCTTGAGGTATCCCTGATCTCTTGGGACTAATTCAGGTGAGTAGCTGTGTTGGTCTGAAGCAACAGAACAA